ATTTTCGTGGGCAAAACTCACTGGCTGATTGGTGAATTGGTCGTTTTCAGCATATGGAGATAAAGTGCCGACTTGAGAAGTGCCGATTATGGGGTTTAAATGAGACGGGTGAGATTGGAACTGGTGTGAAGTTCCAAAATCTGAACCATTTGAATCCCCTTTGGGAAGAGTAGATTGTACCAATTTGGTGCTTAGTGAACCAGAATGTGCGGCTAATACAACCTTACATCCGAGGGTTTGGGGGTCAGGTGATTGTTGGGCTTCGCTAAATTAGGGAGGCCCATCCAGATTGGAATTAACTCCAGCCAATTGGGAGGAGGGCGATGTTTCATCACCATCCCAATCTATTTGGGTAAATTCAGCCCGAGTATTTGCTGTAATTTCGTGGGCAAAACTCACTGGCTGATTAGTAAATTGGTCGTTTTCAGCATATGGAGATAAAGTGCCGACTTGAGAAGTGCCGATCATGGGGTTTAAATGGGACAGGTGAGATTGGAACTGGTGTGAAGTTCCAAAATCCGAACCATTTGAATCCTCATTGGGAAGAGTAGATTGTCCCAATTTGGTGCTTAGTGAACCAGAATGTGCGGCTAATCCAACCTTACATCTGAGGGTTTGGGGGCCAGGTAGCTGGGTATCGCCCCTCATGGAGGGAGCCAGAAACACGGCTTCAGCAATTATAGATGGGGCTGAATTAGCTGACACAATGGGGGAGGTGAATGCCTGGATGGGCTGAGTTGCATTCAACTGAGCAGGTGCCATTAAAACAGTGTGGGTGATGGCCTCCTTGGTTGGAGGGGGCCCAGCGGGTTGGTGGGAGGCAGCGCACACAGAGCTGTTAGGCGTGCAGGTTGCAGAAGTGCGATCAGGTGAACTGGCGCTAGTTGAAGTAGCTCCAGGTTGAGGGGTGGTGCCTGCTTTCATGGCTGCTTCTTGAGAGCGGGTGATTCTAGTTGACCCTGAGGTGGGTAACCATGGGTTGCTTCGTTTGGGGTGGTGCTGGCTCGTTTAGCATAGCCTGCGTGTTCTTTTGCGGGGTTTCCCGCCATATTTGCTAATAGTTTTCGTAAATCTCTTTAGTGGAGCTAAATTTCAGGCTGAATTGATTTTCGAAAAGTGATGCTTAGCAGAAAGAGATAGCCTTGACCCACTTCTTCGCAATGTAAATGCCAGCCTTACTGGTGTCCATGTGCAAGGCCAAGAACCAGTCAAGATGTTGGCATTTGCTGATATTTTTATGGTTGGGGTGTCTAAAAATCATGATGCACGCGCGCTTGAAGCTATTATCCAGGTTTACTCCAGAGTAAGTAATGCTGCACTTAACGCCTCCAAAACCGAAATTGTTCTCCTTAGTCAGTACTGAGCCCGCTGGCCCCCAGCTCCAAGTTTTCTACCTTCTACAACAACTTGCTTATGAGATTGCTTGCCCTGCCCACCCAACACCGCCCCACTTGTGCTCCCCTATGTGACAAGCCCCACCGCAGGCCCAATCCGCTATTAGGGGGTGTGGCTGGAGGCGGGAGGGTATGCCTCAACGGTGATGGAGCATCATATCATAGACAATATTACAAAACGCATAGCTTCCCTCAAAGCCTTCCAGATCTCCCTTACAAGCAGTGTAGTGCTAGCCAACTCTATTCTCCTTTCTAAAGTTTGGTTTGGGGCCCACGCGTCTCCTTTACCCTTATTTCTTCAAGTCATTATATGCCCTTCTACAAGGGTGGCTTTGGTTAGGCCGCCCACTGACAGTGAGCCTAGATGTCATGTTTGGTCCTCGCCATAGTGGTGGCATGGGCCTGCTCAACTATGAGGTCCACGCCGCCAAAGTACTTGGAACCTGGATCACTGCAGTCAACAAGCTATGGTCTCAACCCAGCACTTATCCCGTTTGGCCCACACCAACTTCTCTTAAGCCCTGGGCCTTAGCAATCATACCCACCCCCATTCTCTGTTAAAGTACCTTGCCTCACACCCTTCTGCTGCGGGCCCACATAAGACGTCGCCCCACTTCTAAAGAATTCTCATATCCATGCGGAGCGCTGAGTGGAGAATTAGCATCAGTGGCCACACCACCCAGAGGGGGTGCCCTACTCCTCGGTTCACCCAGGAAGTACAAGGACAACCCATTATGAATGGAGTGATACTGATGAGGTCCCCTATCATAGCCAGGGTGGACTACCTTGAAGTGTTGAACATCCCCTATTCCCTCGATACCCAGAAAGCCATTTGTAAGTATGCCTACCACCCTCTTCTAAAACTTCATATTCATTCCCATGTGTGGCACTGCTTGAGATAGATATACCATACTGCTGAGCGCTATAACGCTTTACACTAATCTTGTGTCATGGCATGCCAGTATGGAACTTTGATTCACCGCCTGGAAGAGTACCATCCATCAAAAGCGATATGGCATGAGGTTCAGCGTATCTTTCATTATGATCAGGCACAGCCCTTTAGCCTATCTAAGGACATCTTAGCCTTGTCCTTGGTTTCCCCTATACCACCTTCCCTCCATGCCTTAGTGGTTGCAATCGCTATGTGGACTAACCACACGGTTGTCTTGGATGCTATCTCAGGCTCTACTCCCACCCTTAGAAAGCTGTACGCCGGTTCCAGTCACACCTTGTGGACCACTTTCAATCTTGGATGTTTGAGTACCTACCATCCCATCGCCGCCAGTTGGTCTCATCTTGGTTTCCAGTTTGGTTCATCACTTCAGACCCCTTCCTTCATACATGTTTAATAGTGGCACAAGCCCCTACACACGTAACCCCCTTCCACTTCTTAGCGTTCCCACTGGCAACAGGAGATAGCGTTTGTTTCTCTGGGGTGCCCTCCTCTTGCTGATGTTCATTTCGTTAGTTTTTTTATCAGAAGTGTCCGTCTCCTGGTCAGCCTTCCCTAATTAAATTTAAACTTAAGTATAAATTATCTTTTTTCCACTTGACATCAATTTTAAGCAAATCATAAGAACAAGTCGAATTTTTACCACTGCCTCATCGCATTAATCTCCTAATTTATGTCCTCAGATTGACCACCTGCTGCCCCAGTATGGGGCAGCAGTGCTCCACCCACTAGCGTTTATCACCTAGCAGGCAAACACATGCAGACTAGCTTGTCAAGTCCACCAAATACATCCAGCTGCTATGTCCCTCCAAGAGACTTATCACTCCATCTCGCACTAGCCTACTCAACCCACCCCTACCCCCTAGCCCTACCCTGATCCAATATTTGCTTTCGCCTCCGCGTTGAGTACAGATGCCTCTTCCTGTATGCTGACAAAGCAATAATTAAGCTGGCAACGGCTACCTTTGCGCCAGCATGGTCTATTGACTTCTGCCCTTACAAGGGCTATTTTGATATTGGACTCCCCACCAAAGAGGGCGCAACTGCTGCAGCAGCTACGCCATTAATTAATAAGATACCCCCATTACCAAACACCCAAACACGCCTCCCAGATGACATCATACTTGTGGTAACCTTTGTAAAAATTCCCCTCACACATTCTTTCTCAAACACTTTAAGAGGAGTTGATTTTGGGGTTGTCCACATACATCAAAAACTATATACTTCAAAATTATTGTCCTAAGTGGTGTTGAACTTCTCGCGGCACCTCAGGCAATGGCCACCATTACCCCCCACAATCTTAACATGGCCCAGCATATCTCACCGCATGCCTATATCCCATCTGCACCTGGCCATTCCTTTTGGGCCCAAACTGACAACTGTCGCACAATTTTCCTCCTTTGCTATGAGTTGGACCACACCAAAAAGTCAAGTCAATATAATTCAAACCCTATGAACATGGCCAACTCCACCCATGAGGCCACACAACAGCGTTTGAGTGGGGATTTTGGATGCCCCCAAACCTCACAGGTCATGAGCTCAAATATGAAACAAAATCTAGCACCTCAAACCCAATCTAGCCAATGCACACCCATGCTAACCATTCAGGAGCAGCATTGGACCCATGTTCAATCCAGAATATCTCCCACCCTAAAACCTAACCAACCAAAATCACCTACCACCCAATCTTCCCAAATCAACCAAAATTTTAGAAATTATTGGATTTAGTAACTGAATCTGGTGAAATCGTCCCACCACCAAGTTATGATAATTGATTTACCACCTTATCTGAATTCAGACTTTGATGCCTAGACCCTGACCAAAAGATATGTATGCAAACCAAAGCCTTTTTCCAAAGTGACCACCAGCTTGCCGTTGCCATTGTGGACAATCAAAAATCACTTCTTACTCACAAAATGTATGTAAAATCCATCACAAGATTTAAAAAAGGGCTGCACTACCCATCATTCCCCTCTGATTTTCCTCCTACTGCAAAAGAGGAAATTCAACAACTACACAAAATTACCACCACCACTGTCAAGTATGTCGCTGAATTGGCAGGATATTCCTCATCCACATGCACCACAAGAGCCAACAAGCAAAATTGGCCAACTTCTAAAAGCCCACATCCAAAATGAAAATTACGTTGTTAAACTCATAGAGGCTTTGATCCAGGCCCAAATTGTCAATCAAAACAACTATTTACTTCATCTTGACCCTCATCCCATGGATGTCTCAACCCCCCTGCTCTCAGCATTGATCGCTTCTACAATGTTGAGCCTGATGATGACCCACCGATACCCCTCCCCCTCTACCATGATGGGATAAGCGGCTCAACACTGTGCCACCTGGTAGGTTATTTTCTTATTTCTTTTGTGTTTTGCTGCCCAAAAAGGGCGGTCATTTCATGTTCTAATTTTTAGTTGATTTAGTTTTAGAGTATTAGTTTTGGTATTGTCCGTCCCTTGGTCAGCTTGCCTCATCAAATAAAATATAGATTTAAATTAATCAATTTGAATTATCAGAAATTCTATAGATATTGTAGCAAATCATGGGTACCTACACTAGTAAATTATAAATTATATATAATATTGTATATAATATACCATGTACTATATAATACTTTTATTTTAAAAATGGAAAATTAAAAAGTAAGCTTCATATGAGGCTTGAACCCATGACCCTGAAATTAAAAGTACCATGCTCTACCAACTGAGCAAACTTTTTAAAAAAAAACTCCAACCTTATTTGAGAAAAATAAAAGGAAAGTTAGAGGGGAGGGTGGAACACAGGTGATTCAGCTGAGGATAAAGGACATGGATTTCAGGCCGCTAGAAACCTAGCACCACCAACCATTGCTGATCAGCGATTGCCATTGATAGCCATGGTTCTAGCATCAGTGGGCTTACAGGCCATCTGATCTTTAACTTATTTGTTGCTTCATCACATACAATGAGCAATCCGGTGGGAAAAGCCAAATGCGCAGGTTTGTAACACCTGGGATTAGGTGTGAGAATTTTATATGATCTTTTATAGCTGATCAGATATAATTTAAATGGTCTTCAGCACCAAACCTTTGTGATAGGGGTGCTCATTGGCCAAACTCTTGGCAACAAGAACCGAGTGTATCACACATACAAAAATGATGGTAGAAGAAGGCTCATAATTGAATTGAGGATAATTGCAGGGTTTCTTCAAAAAATGTTCTGCAACAGATGCATTTCCATCAGCGGTTGTTTGCCCAACATGATGTAGCACATCATAGACCAATATTTTTTAAACATGGCGCATTTTTAATATTGATGAGTGATATATGCTTCCAGTTTATTATATGTGGGCACTCCTTGTGCGGGTAATCTGGTCCATTATGCTTACCAGATTTAATTGTGCAGTGAAGGATCCACCAGGTTACTGACCGTGCTTGGCCATTACCAGTCAAGAGTTTGGGCCTGAGATCAACTCCTTCATTTGATTGGTGTCATGGCCTTCAGTTTCCCAGTCATTCAAGATTCGTGGTTGAGTGGGTGGGTTGCACCTGGGTTTTGGGAGTGGATCCCTAAACTCATTCAGGGTCAACTTGTAACTGATTTTAATTGAATTGGCAGCATATTTATGGGTGATTCGATTTTGTTCTTCCCAATTTGTTGTAAAAAATCATTGCAGAATTATGGGCCTCAACATCACTGTAGATCTGGTCAGCATCCCAATCTGCTAGATTGAACGACCAGCCGCTCAGGCCCGCTGCCCAATTGTACAGTCACCAGTAATGGGGGGTGCCTTTTCAGAAGGGTATTGGTGGGTGGCTCGCCATCCATTCGCATAGTGAGCAGGGTAAGATGGGGTCCTGAAGACCCTAAACTCTAACCCAGTTCATGCTCCATGTTATGGTCAGGCAGCACGTGTGCATTTGCATCAATCTAAGGAACGACTTCTCCCAGATCTGCTGAACATGGATAAAAAAATCCAGAAGGCCCATGCCTCCTTTGTTCTTCAGTTTGAACAGAGTTTCTAGTTCTATCAGTGCCACTTTCGCTTTGAACCATAGGAAGGTATGGAGCATTGTCCTGATTTTATTTCTTTAGGGTTGGCTCATTGGTAGCACATGGGTGACATACCACAATTTTGAGAATATGATTATGTTAATTTCCAGCACTTTCTCCTCAAGGCTTAGTCTGAAATTTTTTCAGCATGCCATTCAGACTGATAGACTCAATAATACCTCTTGCTCAGTTTCCAGTACCACTGGCCCTTTAGTGTTAAAGTGTATCCTGAGGTATCAGATCATCTGGGAGTTCATGATTGGTGTTGTGTCAGTCAGTGGGCTGAAGTTCAGGATGCTGATCCTCATTACGGAGATTTTTGCCAAGTTAATCTTAACAGTTGACGCTAACTGGTATAGGTCCAGTAGCTCCTTGGCGCCTTACAGGTCATTTGGCGAGCTATACATACTACCATGTCATTAGCAAAGCCCAGCATTTTAAGCGGCATTTGGTTGGGGTATACTAGGCCCTGGATTTTTGCATCCGCCGCTTCCAATAAACTTTTAGCTGAAAAACTGAACAAAATCAGTGACATAGGAATGCCTTGTTGGAGACCCTGCCCAACTGGAATGTCATTGGTTATGCCATCTGTGACAATCATCTTGGAACCAGGTCCAAGTATAGTGTTGCCATCCATGATCTAAAGGTTTTGGGGATATCAACCGCCTTTAACGCCTCATGTAGGAACGACCACGCTACTCTATTGTAGGCCTTTTCCATGTCAAAGAACATGAGATATCTTAGATCAGTTCCATGCGCATCTTGGATTATGTTTTGGACTGCACCAATGCTGTCCCTGATACTCCAGCCCTTGATGAAACTGTTTTTGGACTTATGGAGTGTGTGGTGCCATTGCCATCAGCTAATTCGATAATATGTCTATTAGCAACTTATACTTGGCGTTGGAAAGTGTGATTGGGTGCCAGTTCCATAGTTGGCATCAGAGTCCCTTTTTTTACAAGAGTAAAATTTGGGTCTCCTTTCTACCTGGATCTGCTTTCCATTTTGCAAACAGTGATTATTAGGGATTTGAGTTCAAGTATGATGCAGCAATGGAATACATTGTACACCTCTGCACACATGTTGTTGGGGCCTGGTGCCTTCATTCTCAGCAACTTTTTTAATGACCACTTAACTTCATCAATCAAAATTTTAGTGGATTTGTTAGCGACATCTTCTAACTTACAGCCCCTAAGTGCCAGCTTGGCCAGATCAATTAGGGCATTTGTCATCGATTAATTTGTTTATTGTTGATATAACTCTCCATAGAAGCATTCAATCTCATGTTTGATCGTCTCTGGGTCCGTTGGTACTTCCCCTTCCGCCATCTCTACTTCCCAAATCCTAGCCTTGGTTCATATTTCTTGAGGTGCGCCAGGCCCTCTTTGGTCATCGTCCCCACTAAGCTCTGATATCAGTAGGTAGCGTTAATCTTTCACTCCTAATCTTGTTTTGGCATCTAGGCTAATACCTTTTGTGAATATTTTGGTACTCTCTCCACCATACTTAGATGTCCCACTAAGTGAGCTTCAACCTCTCCAGTGCAGTTTTCAGCTGCTTCACGGTGGCAGTTCGCTTGTAGGTTATCACTTTTTGAACTTTATGCTATTGTGATTCATCTTCTCTTTGATCTAAATTCGTCATTCCAGAGGGTCTATCTCCAGGTGACGTTCCAGATATGCAACCAGTTGATCTACTTTGTCTTCAATTGTTCAGCGCCATTCCCCATCCCTAAGCGTGGCTGGTGTCAGCTGCCGTTCATGTGACCTTAGGGGTTCATCCAGATGGAACCCATGTGGACGAGCATGTGGTCACTTTTGGCAATTATATTGACTTTGCTGTTGGATGTCAGCGGCTTGAGGTCGGATGACACCAGAATATAATCCAGGCGTTAACCAGCCTGTGGGGTTCCAGCTGAGTTATATGTACATCGCATTAGGTTGGCCAGGTCATCATCCTCTTTGTCAATAATGAGGCACATCCCCAATTTGACTAAGTTTCCAGCATATCATCAGCCTTTTGGTTGGGACTTTTGCTTGTCAGGTCATATCCATTAACGTTTGTCCAACAATTCAGGTCTCCTTCTATAACAGTCATTGCTTCAGCTGGTACTTCCGATAAAAACACCCAAAATAATTGGTTTTCGCGGGGCTTCAGTAGAGAATAGACTGCCACCACTCAAAGGCTCTTGCCGTTTTCCCTATGCATAGTAGTCACTATCAGGATCCTTCTGGTATGCGTTTCCTCTCCAAATTCCAGGTCTATGTTCTTGTTAAAAGCAACGATTGCCACATGATCTGTCCAGAGGACTTGACTGCCTATTTGGTGGGACCACGGTTGGTTCATCATGTCGCAGATCAAGCTTGCTCCATTTCCTTTTGGTTACCTGCTTATGTTTCCAATATTAAAATTATGTCTATATTATTGTTTGTTTTTAGAATGGTGTAACTTACACCTTCTAATTTGTATGCTCACCATCCCCTGAGTATTTGTGGTTACAATCCTCATTTTTGGTTGCATGACCCACAGGTATGAGGATTAATATTTTCAATGTTGTGAATTGAGTCATGGACAGAAGTTTGCTTATTGGTGGTCAGTGTTACTGAGGGTGGCTGGGGGGTATAGGTTGACCTTTGAAATTGGTTAAATGGAACTGGGATTATATTACCAGGCTGTCAAGACTGGGCTCCCAAGGACCAGCCCGCCACCAGACCTACACCACTTGCCCCCATATGTGGCTTTACCAACTCCAATTGGCCCTGTCCAAATGGACGGCCTAGCCAGGCACACTGTGATGAGGTGCGGTGCACCAGCCTCTGTTGCCTCAGACCCCAGGCAGAGGTGCCCCCAAAACCTCTATCCGCACACAGGGTCACCGGGCCAAGGTGTGGCTAACCAGCCTCTGTCGCCTTTGGCCACTCTGGCTTGTGACTAGCCAGGGCAAGACCTCCCCCAAAAGGAGCCCTGCGCATCCACCACCTTTCCTGATTCACTGCCATCTGCTTCCCAAAACTCACAAAATAAGTCAAATTTAAATAAAACGGGTTTAGCAAAAATTTCATTTATTGGAAATGGACTCAAAGTTGGAATAGAATTCCAAAGTGAGGCCCATCAGGGCTGAGCTCTCTTTAAAATGCTTCCAAAAAGGCTAAATGAATTGTGGGTAATGAGGGGCGCAAAAGCCTCCAGAATTGATGGCATCTAGGCAACTTGGCGAAGAATTGGAGGTGAACCTCAGAACGAACAACCAATCAAAATAAACAAGTTATTTAATTTATTCCATTATTGACCCAAATAGGAAAACTACTAGGAATAACGGAATTGCAACTATTGACACATAAATCTCATACTTCCCAACCATATGAGATTCATGTACAATCGTTTATTGTTACAAAGGCATTCTGTGCACTGGGAATTCAGTCGCCATCCCCATCTCACTATCAATGGACAACGGGGACAGCTTTGTTACCAGCTCTGGGCGTTCCATGATCCCTACTGGCAGCATGGCGGGCTCCCCTTTCATCTGTAAATTGGATTCCTACCCCTTCATTTGATTTTTTGGCAGATCTGGCCTTTTTGGTCAGTTTCCAATCAGCCACTTTGACAATTGTGTCAACTCAGTTGTTTGTTGTGGTACCTCAGGCTTGTTTGCTGACAATTTCCGAGTTGACTTCATATTCAC